GGGTGGGGGGGGGAATGGGGGGGAGAGGGGGCAGCGGCGGCAGCAGCAGCAGCAGCAGGATGTCGACCCATAGCAAGCTGTTGGAGCCGGTAGTCTCTGTAGCCCATGCTAGTCGGGGACACAGCCCTCTGCGGGTGAAGATACCGGTGTCCTGCGGAAAAGTCTAAAATTGGAGAACGGCCACGTCTGTTCCTGTGCACAATATCTATTTTCAACGGGCGGTCATAAAGCACCAGTTTGCCGCGGGCGTGTTTCGCCGCCCGGGCGTCTTCGGACCTCCTGAAGTTCACTAACGCCACTCTTTCGTCGTTTTCTCGACTTAGTTTAATGCTCACGTCCCCAAACCTCTTGAACTCGTGGAAAAGTCCGTCCTCTATTTCCTCATCGTTCAGCTCGGTGCCCAGTTCGCTAATCTTTAGGGTATTATACTCACTTTCTGAGTTGGCTGAAGGCCGCGGTTCGCTGCGTAGAGAGGACCTGGACGCTTCCGCACCAACGTCGGCGCCAGCGTGCGGCTTGTTCGTCGACATAACTCTGTGGTCGTAACCGCTGCCTGGCCGGCTAAGAGCTATATGTGTGTCCATATCCCTTTTCTCGGTGGTTAAACCCTTCCTGGAGGGCGCTCCGCTCTGACCAGACCCGTTGCTGCCGACCATCGACAGTGCAAGTTTCTTGCTGCTCAGGTAGCTCCCTCCTCGGTCTCTACTACTGCCCTCATCCTGCGCTCTGGGTCGTTTCTTTACCGGCGACCGCTCTTTGCCCTTCATTTCAAGCCCCCAAACACGTGTGGTTCACTGTGCGGCTTTCTACCTAAAATAACCTAACTGTAACTGAAGTCGCGCTAAACTATCGGATCTGTTCCCTGCGTTAACAACGCTGTCAAGCAACTATCATGGACGCCATGTTGGCTTACTGGCATTTCTGTACAGGAAGTTGCGTCGGGGTGTGTAGTCAAAGCTGATTGGCTGCGAGGCGTGTCGATCATTATGTTGCGTCAGAACGTATGGCTGTAATCAACAGGGGTGCGGCGGCGTTATGAACTACAGCCCTGCTCAGTAAAGTCGATTTTCGACAACAACAAAAATCCGTCGTGATAATAAAACACACTTAGTAATAGTAAAAACGTCACCACAGTGAAAGAGACGAGGTAAAGAAGTAGGAAAACACGATAAAAGTCACTGCATTTAATCTAAATATTGCCCTTGAAGTTAGCATACGGTTATTGATTAACACTATGAGGAGGGGCGTGAGCACGGAAACATGCAGCCGGATGTAGTTCTAATATAAATGCAATTAAAAATAAATTAGTAGTTGAACCCTGTGAGAAAAGCCTGCAATACATGTTAAAAGGTATGAAGAAGTTTTATCAACGGCAGGATATAAAGATGTTTTCTTTAACGGATTTTATGACAATATTTTTGTCAACCATAAAGTAAGTAAAATCACTTTATTTTCACCTTCTATCAAGTTGGACCGACACACTGCACCATGTCTTTTATGTCAAAGCCTATTCCTACTGTATCACAGATCTCCAGCAGCATCAGTCAAGTCTGACTGCCTTGGTTCCCTTCAAATTGACTTCCTTTAATGCAATAAATACTGTTTTCATGAATCATGGACCACAGCACCTGTACGTCTGTCTTGACCCACTTTCTCCACAGTCTGAACATGTACACAGCAGCTCACCTACTCATGTACTGTACTAGGAAGCTTATTCGTATGAACATATGAGAGAAAACATATAAATACTCTGTGTAAAACTGGGACATCAGTCCTCAGAGAAAGGACAGTAGAGAACGGGACAGGGAGGGAGAATTGGTGTTTGAGACTAGAGTAAAGGAAAAGTACTGGGTGCCTGTGATGCTGCAGATGCATCTGTGCACGTGAGTGGTGGTGGACGGAGGGGAATACAGAAGAAAAATGGTAGAGGGAGGGAGGGAGGGCTGCAAAGCAGGAAGAGGACGATGTAGGGGAATACAGAAGAAAAATGGAAGAGGGAGGGAGGGAGGAAGGGCTGCAAAGCAGGAAGAGGACGATGCAAAGCTACATCGAAGTGGAGGTGAAAGGAGGAGAGGAGGAGCAGAAATGTTCTGCAGTGGCAACAGATAAGCAGAGATAAGGAAAACCACAGAGGCTGCACTGAGACGACGGTTAGAAACAATATACTGAGAGAAGAAGCCTCTAACATGATACTGGTCATATAATGAAAACATCAACAGGAAAAAAACATAGTCAACAAAGTGACACAAGAAAAGAAAATGGCTTTTTAGGGCTTTTTCTGTTGTAGATAAAAATCATATTCATGTACGATATTTCATTGGCTATTCTTAGAAAACCATCATGTGTATTGAATATCGTTCAGCGCCCACAAAATGGCTTAACATAACACAGACAATGATGGTTAACGATGACTGAATTTATTACAATTTAAACAATTTCAATTCATTATTTCACTTCTTCTGTCGTCTTCTGATTATTTATTATTGTCTGTGAGACTATGTGAACAAACGGACATTAACACCACCACAGATTCTGTGAATCTTCACACTAAATGGGAAAGTCAATAAACAGATTTGTCAGGAGTGAGACAGTGGGAGATAAAGAACAGTCTCTGCTCTGTAAACCAGATGGGACTGTTTGGACATCTGCTAACGAGAGAGGGCAGCACCTCCGTGTCCCACTGTGACTGCGACTGTGCTGATGCAGGATAAAAACTATCACACACACAACTCTATATGTGTATAACAGGGTGACAGTGGCTTTAGCAGATGCCTCGCAGCTGTTTAGCTAATCTCTCATTGACCAGGGTCATGTATAGTGTCTCTTTATTGAATGATATTCACTTAGTCATAATAACAGTTTGTTTTTTCACGTCAACTTTGTAAAAAAAAAAAAAAAGAAAATTCCTTTAGGTCTTTGAGAACAAGTTAAAAAAAAAAAAGGAAAGGGACCATTGTGACGCAGCACACCACTCCACACAACAAACATTTTACCCATCACCAAGGTCAGCAGGGGGCAGTGTATGTGGGGACGGTGCCATGCTGAGTGTATCTCACTGGTAACTTGTCAGCTGGTGGACTCGAACCTGGCTTCCTTAATCACGAAGCCACCAAAAAGTTTGTTCCCTGACCGGGAATCGAACCCGGGCCGCGGCGGTGAGAGCGCCGAATCCTAACCACTAGACTACCAGGGACTTGAGGTTCCGCTCATGTCACATAAAATTGAAACAAAATTCAGTGTGAAACCAATTCAGCACCTGGACCAATTAGAAAATAAAAATAAACAAATATATTTTATTGCAAGATTCTGCAGGAGTTGTTTTTTGGTCCATTTTGAAAAAATACCGTCAAAAGAAGAAGTCGGGGAATAAATCGTGCCTTTACCTCAAGAGCGAGGATGAAAACAGCTGCTGAATATGAATGGTCTTCAGATTGTCTTAAATTAAAGAAAACACTTGAACTTCTACTGTGATACAGACGTTGAACAGTGGGTCAAGGATACGTCGCTTCAGACGGTCCAACCTGGCTGTTCAAGGCAAAGAGGAAACCGTTCATCACTTCAGTGTTTCAGGAGTGATATCAGGTTTCCCAGGCCTCAGCTCATCTAAGATGGAATAAACGACCATGGACGAGTGTCCTGCTCAGATGATCTGGTTGCAGTGACAGTAATAAGGAACATTACATGTTCTCAGGTCACAAACCTGCTGTAGGGACAGGGAAGACAAACAAACAAAGACAGGGGAGACGAGCATGAAAATGTCCTCATGTGTTTCTGTTTAATCTGATGCCACATTAGGGATTAAACTAAACTAAAAACTAACTAATCTGAAATCAAATCGAAATCAAAAACTTTTAACAATAAAGAACAAGGATAACGAGTTGTGAAAATTGTTGATGCCCACAGCTAATATATAAGATGAATGAGAATATTATCGATTTATATGATCGTTACTTTACGGAATAATGTAAAGACAGTGAGTCTAAAAATGAATATTTAAATTTTTCTCTTTCGTAATAAAGAGATAGAACACAGAATCGATTCACTCCAACTCTATTGAGTCTAAAAATGAATATTTCCTTTTTCTCTTTCGTAATAAAGAGAAACACAGAATCGATTCACTCCAACTCTATCGAGCGTCCCTTCGAACCATGAACACCAGTAGAGATAGTATTTATTTTTGAACGATTATTTGATCGTTTTGGTTTAATCGATTATCATCTCCGGCCACAAACACCTCGACGTTTTCATCTCATCACCTGAGAATCTACAGTGACCGCCCGCGTCAGGCAGCGGCTGTTGTGGATAACCTTGATAAATCTGTGCGCTGTTTTCTTCCTTTACGTGTTTTCACATCAACTCCAGTCGTTTTGGTTTTGTTTTGGGTTTTTTTTTTTTTTGCGTCCCAAAACAACACAACACCACTGGATGAAAGTCAGCCGATCATGTCTGACGGTGATGAAAAAGACGCACTCGTGTGCGTCACCGTGCGCCCTGGACTCTCCTCCCTGCGCGTCCCGGACAGCATGTGATTCTCCGACTGTCCTCCAGTGTCCCACCAGCCTCACTCCGACACCACAGTACACGCGGCAGATGTTTTCATCCCTCTTTCTGCCTGGAATAAACCGTATGTGTTGTTGATCGACAGCGAAGACTCAGGGTGAGGAACGTTTTCAAATCGTTTCCTTTTTTCAGTTTTTTTTTCTTTGCGCATCTCGTTGTCAGTGTCATCACCTATTCGCAGATCTGCTAAAAAAAAAGTTGGGATGTGTGACTTTCCTGTCTTGTGGTCAGTCTTGTGCAGATTTGTTTGTGTTTTATGTTTTTTTAGTGAGTGTTTTGTGGTTTTAACAGTAGTGAGGGTCACAGTTTGACCTTGGTTGTGTTTAAAAGTCACACGGCAGCAGTGATGGTGTCAGCATCAGGACCAGAGGACCGGCCTGTGGTCAACAGTTACAGTCTACACACCTGGTCTTTTTAAATCTTCAGACCAGAGATAAGTGAACTGGATATTATTTTTTTTCTACATCACCTGCTCTGTGTTTGTCCTCTGAGTGCTGAAATCTGGGTAAAGGGCGACTGGTAACTGAAAACTTTAATCGAAACCATTTCCACTCTGTCTCTTTAAACTGTACGAATCCAGTTACATAAAATTGGATGGGAATATGTGAATATTTAAAGATGTCTGAAGTCTGCAGTAAAACTGTACTTTTCCCGTCGATCTTCAGACTATAACTATAAGAATATCGGAGGTAATGAATGTATTTTGCGGTTAAACAAATGTTTTATGGATAATTTGATATCGTAGATAACACCGCGTTGTGCTATTTTTGTACAAAATATTCCCCCCTCATAACAGAAGAAAAATGTTAATTTATCGTCATTGTAATTTTTGAAAAAGAAAATGAAAAGAAAACGTAATCAATAATAATAATAATCATAATCGTAAAATTATGCATTTATATTTATTTCTTATTCATTAAAAATTAATAAATGTCTTATTACCATGTTTACACCTGGTTTGGTGAAGTTTGGTGAAAAAAAGCTCATGTGACGTTCAGTGACTTTTACCTGCGTCTCAATCAGAGTAGACCTGATTGGTCAGTTAGGGCCCTTGATTTATGACGTCAGTGTGTTTCAGGAAGTGGTTT